GTAATTTAGACTGATGTGTCCATATTCGTAGTTCTAATAGCTGAACCTGGCCTTTCAGTGCTTTTACATGGTCTTATTTGTCATTCATCTAAGTTAATGAAAGAAGCAAAATCAGCCAGAGAAAGTGATCAAAGCCTTTTGTGCCCAAACAGCTAAGAGTACTGATATCCCCCCTTGACCAGGGATGCTAGACTGTTGTAGGTTACTCCTCATCATTCTGTGAGGCTGCCGATCAATTTGCCAGTACCCAATCATTCTTAAGGGTGGAAAGAGACACTGTGACATTGCCTTGCCCAAGAACATAACATAATGACTCTAACAAGGGCTTGAAACTGCTCTGCTTGATATGGTGTAGTCCATTGGACTATCCATTATGCCAGAATACCTCCCACAAGCTCTAGAGTGGATTAGAAATTGTAAATTGGTTGTACATGTACCTTTAGGATGTAATATGAATTTAAGACAATTCCACATCTTAGACAAGATTTACCCCTTTTTTTTCTTGCTTTTTAAGTTTCCAACAGGGAGCACTTTGATACGAGTGCGTGTTTTCTCAATTTTTATCTTAGTCAAGACTGATGTGTAAATTTTCAAGTAAAATTTTTCTTTTTCAGCCTCATAATTTGTTACTTGGTCCTAACATGACTGTGGTGCTGATGGACCTTGGCAGTGTGTCTAAGGCCAGATGTACCATAACATCGAGGTAAGTGAGAAATCTTAGTTTACCTGTTATTCAGGTCTTGCAAAATGGTGCATACAATGTAATAAGTATAGCCGGCTAGTGGACAACTTGTTGTATTGATGTCCTGTTGCGATCTCTGGCAAGGCATTTTATTCCCACACTGCACTTCTCCATTCAGGCTGAAGTAAATGCATGCCTGGTGCTGACAAATTGTTGGAGGCAACTGTGTATGACTAAAAAACCATGTGTTAATCTGCAACAGACTTAGCGTCGTAACCCTAGAGAGTAACAATATACGCCAAGTTACTTGATGCTGTGTGTGACTGAGATGTTACACAGTGCCTTCTCTGGGCATATTTAAAACATGAAATGATGAATTGGCACTATGGGTAAGAGTCATTGTGGGATATGGGTGTCTGTAAGGGTTAACTCTTACATTTAGTGACAGCCAATCACTGTTGAGTCAGTAATAGTTAGGCTAACCTTAGTGTTATTTAGGCCAACTAGAACACTTTCTGCATAGTGCCATTTCACCATTTTGTGTTTCAAGCATGGCCGCCTCTTCTTCCTCCACTCATTGATGTTTATTCTATGAAGTGCTAAGAACAGAAACATTTTGATTATTATTTTCTCAGCACGTAAGTCATGAAGCTTGTTCGTGTTGTTGGCTTGAAATTTCTCTGGTCTTATATAATAACAGATAAATATTATTTTTATAGCACCTATCCAAACATGATCTAGGCGCTTTACAATGTTATTTTATTGTTTCTTGTAGAAGGGAAGCTTTGGCCCTCCAAGAGAAATGTGCTCAAGAATGCACTGCTGCATATAGGTAGGTAAAGATATTATTAATAGGCTAAGTGTACATGCATCTGCTTTGTTGAAGGGTTTTGCTGTCCGAAACTTCTTCTGGATTCAATATACTGAAGGTAATATTAATACTGACTGATCATATAAATACTAACTTTAGGGCTCCAGAGCTGTTTGAAGTGCCGTCAAACTGTGAAATCGATGAGAGGAGTGATGTATGGTCACTTGGTTGTACTCTGTATGCCATGGCTTATGGTAAGTTTGTTCTTCTCATTAATTACAATATTAGTGTTATCAGGTTGCTCCAATTTTTAATGTTGGATCATCTAAATATGATAACTAGAGCTCAAGATATGACCACTATATGATCCCAATTCTTACATACCCTCGAAGCACAGTACACAAGAGGGTGCAAATTTGCATAGCACTGTACAGGATTGCATCAACATAACAACACAAATAACAAATACAGTTTGTGGAAAAAATTGCAGAAATAGGTCCTAGCAATTTAAAGTATACCACAAGACTTATGTGGTATGCTTTTTCTCAGATGCTTATTACTGAGGTGGGGTGTGGCCAAAGGGGCTTATTTTTTCTCAAAAATGTTTGGCTCATGAGAATATCTTTGCATCAGGGAAGATTCTGAGATGATACAAGATTAATGTGTAGCAAAACTTTCCAAGCATAAATGTTCATCATTTACTGGCTGGGACGTCTAAATAGTGAAAAACTGTGGTCAGAGTTCTTGAAAATGCTGCTCTTGAGGCTGCAGGTGGAGGGCAGCATTTTCAAGTCCAAGGTCGCAACCCTAGCTGGCTAAGCCTGTCAAAAACTTATATTTTTTCCTCTCTCTCTCATGACAAGTCAGTATTATACTTGTTGACTCGTTGAACATCACAGGTATCTAAGAGTATACTGTATTGACTGTAAAATGTAAAACAAGTTTCACAATAGCTGCTGGGTCCTATTAATTACAGGATGTTTTTACTGTTCATAACCTATAGTTTTCTTTTACATTGTCGCACTTGGTATTTTCTTTTAAAGACCACTGCATGAGTAACTATACAAAATGCACTTGAAGAACAAGTTAATATTATGAGTTCTTTTTGCTTTACATCAGGTCAAAGTCCATGTGATGGCTCAGCACTCTCAGCTAATAGTGGGAACATTCAAATACCAAGTGACAGGTACATTATGAAAACTAACATAAGGATATTTTAATCGATTTCATCCTTGCCATATTATTTGTCAGCTACTGCCCTTACAATTTTACCATGTAATGGGTTTGTGTTATTTGTTACATGCTGTGATGTCAAAAGGTTCAGCTTCTCTTTGCCTCACCCTTTGAGTGACTTTGGAAGCACCTCTGTCCCATGACTTAAAGCAATAGC